GACGTTTAGCGTTGCGAAGCATAAAGACAAAGTGAGGGGGCATATCATTACAGATTGGGACAGATTTAGGAAAAACAGAGCAGACACTGTGAACGGGAAAATTAATGACCTGGATGCATGGGTAGAGGCGCTCAAGGAGGATGTAACTAATACCACGGTGGAAGTGCCAGTCGAGCAGGAGGAGGTTACCGCTGACTCGAGACTATTACACATGTGGGAAGCGCACGCGAGTCTCTTGAGAAGGTGGAAGAAGCAAAAACATAATGGCGTCTTTCGCAAAAGGACTGGCAAGTTAGAACGTAAAATCGAAAATATACAATTGAGTTGCAAGCCAAGCAGTGGGGCCAGATTTGTGAACGCATGAATGGACAGTTTGGATGCAGAAAGACATGGCAGCTGTTAAGGCATCTTTTGGATCCGGCAGCAACAAAATCGGCGCAACGGGGACAAATGACTCGGTTAATGCATCAATATGAAGGCGAAATTGGAGAGTTTATACAGCAACTCCGGAATCGGTACATAACTGATGGAGTAGACGGTTGCTTACCACACTATTCGGGGGTGGAAAACTCAGAACTAGGTGAAGAGTTCACAATTGCGGAGGTGGAGTTTGCCATGGGGCAGCTTCGTGCTACGTCTGCTGCAGGTCCGGATGGGGTTACTAATAAAATGCTGAGAAACCTAGATTTCACATCGGTCGGGGCGATCACTGACTTAATAAATGAGTATTGGGTGGCCGGGGAGATCCCAGCACAATGGAAGCATGCTAGGATTATATTTATTCCGAAGCCAGGCAAGAAACGCTGCTTGGAAAACCTGCACCCCATATCGCTGACATCATGCGTGGGCAAATTGATGGAGCCCGTGGTTCTCAACAGGCTTCAGAATTATGCAGAAGACAAGGCCATCTTTCCCCCAACTATGATAGGTTTCAGGGCCAATTTGTCCATACAAGATGTCATGATACAGTTGAAACATGATGTAGTCGATCCCGGACATGGCACGGGCACCAAAGCTGTATTATGGCTTGACCTGAATAAAGCTTTCGACAATGTTTCGCATGAGGCAATATTGAATAAACTATCGGAAATTGGCCCAGGTGTCCGGACATTTCGCTACATCAGATCATTCTTAGAGGGCCGAACCGCAGAAATTTCAATAGGAGATATCAAATCGGACTCACTCGCGTTGGGAGGCAAAGGGACGCCGCAGGGTTCAGTTTTGTCGTCGTTCCTGTTTAACATCGCCCTAATTAAAATACCGCCGAGGCTGGAGGAGATACCGAGACTCAAACACACATTTTATGCAGATGATATTACTCTATGGGTAACCAGGGGTAGTGATGCGCATCTGGAAGAAACACTACAACAGGCAGGTAATATTGTCGAAGAGTTGGCAGGGGAGGCGGGACTTTCATGCTCTCAGCCCAAGTCCGAGCTCTTTGTGGTTCGAGACAAACCCAGAGGGCTACATGCAAGACACTATATATATATATTCCGCCACCGCCGTTAGAAGTAAAGGTAGCGGGTAGGCCGGTAGCTGAAGCTCAAACGATTAGAATTCTTGTCCTATATCTGCAAACTAACAGGAAGAATAGGGTGGCCCTTGAAAAACTTAAGACCGTGTTCAATGCTACTGTCAGACTAATCAGAAGAATCGCTAACCGTAAGAACGGGGTTAAAGAAAAAGAACTCTGTAAGCTGGTACAGGCGTTTGTGCTCAGCAGGATTACTTACGCGACACCCTATATGAAATTGGATGCTGCAGAAAATGGTAAGGTCGAGGCTATTATCCGGCAAGCTTAGAAGGTAGCGCTTGGGTTGCCTAACAACGCGCCTACAGAAACGCTTTTCAAAATAGGGTACACAACACCCTGGATGAATTATGGGAGGCGCATCTGGTGATGCAGCACGCTAGGCTTTCGACAACCAAAGCGGGCAGGATCATATTGGAAAGGATTGGCATTGGAGCAGAGGATCCCACTGGGGACACTAAAATTGAGGTGCGACGAGAGTTACATAAGGCCCTGTACATAAAACCTTTGCCCAAAAATATGCATCCGATTCACCATACGCAGCGCAGGCAGGCAAGAGCCAGAGCTTTACACGTTGAGTACGGCGAGTACAAAGCGGAAGTCTATACAGATGTTGCGGATTATAAGGACAAAGGCGCTTTTGTGATTGTGGTGGTGGACAGGCGGGAACGCTTGGTCGCCTCGGGATCGGTCAAAACCCGCTCCTCGGAAACTGCAGAGGAAGCGGCAATAGCGCTAGCTATAACTAATTCGCAGTCGGATTTGATTCTCAGTGATTCAAAGACAGCCATCCGAAATCTGGCGAGGGGCACAATATCGGCGACCGCCGCACGATTTCTGCATGGGGCCGCGGGACGAGAAATTAGATAAATAGAAATTGTCTGGTTACACTCTGGGCACACTCTGGGGACCCTGGGAACGAGGCGGCTCACTTGAATGCTCGAGGTTTCGTCAGCCTGGTAGGTGAGCCGCCAGTTCCGGGGAGGTCCGCGAGAGATGGGCTGGTGTCCTTTCATGACATAACGAATCATTATAAACAAGAGCGGAGGTTTTATCCGTCCCCGCACAAGCAGTTGACTAAGGCGCAGGGATGCGTCTGGAGAAATTGCCGACGCGATCTTTTCCCAACCCTTACGTGTTGAACAAAATGTACCCGGAGGAAATTAAGCCACAATGCAAATGGTGTGAGGCTGTGGCAACATATGATCACATACTTTGGGAATGTAGCATAGTGCCGCCGCCTCTGGATATTATGCGTGATCCCTCTCTTGAGCACCGGGAGGCCGTGTTGACCAGCTCAGACCCAGTCGTCCAGTTAAGGGTCGTGGAGTGGGCCACACAGGTCGCCGCCAACCTTGGGTTGATTGCCATCTAACACGGAATCATCCGCAGTTGCTTTCTGACGAAATAAAGTTTCACCATTCACCATCCATCACATTTCATTGTGAGGTACGCATGCCTTGCATGCGTACATGCGCTGCGTACGTGGGCTCGTTACGTGCGCCCGACTAAAAGTGTCTAATATCACAATCCCGTCTCGTACGTCGTTAAACACTTCCCGCCAGACAGTGGCGCTTGCCCACTTCTCTTTCCGCCCTCTGTCATATTTATGCCCCCTTCCCATTCCCCCAGCGTAGGGTAGCAAACCGGGTATGTGTCTGGTTAACCTCCCTGCTCTTGTTGTTCATCTCCCTCCCCACAGGTAGGTATATGCCACAGGTGATTGACACAGTATCTACCCTGGAATGATGAGAACACACTTGGGAAGTATTAATGCGCAAGCGTTAAGAAATACTCTACATCGGTAGCGTCGACCCGAGGAATGCAAAGAAAAATGTTCGGGTCCTAAAGGGAATCGAACCCAAGCATTCTGCGTGGCAATGAAGCCTTTTATTACCACAGAGCTACGCCAGGTTTCGGAACTACTTTACAAATAGAGGCTAATCTTCGTGAAATGTCAATAGTGGTTGCAGTGCTGCCTACGCAATTTTATAAACATTACATATGTGCTCCTTCGGTGTACAGCCGTCACGTCGGGTTAACGTCAATTCTGGTTAGTTGTCATGCGCTGAAGTTGATTTATGTAGCAGTGTCCTGGGCCGGCATCCTCGCGAGCATCAGCACTTGATATTAGCTTCTCGTGTTGCTAATACGCATGTTCCAGTTCACATTGTTGCGTAAGTGCAAACAACTGGTTATATGAACATCTGCAACTCTTCAAAATATGCCTGTGCGTGCAACAATTGCACATATATTTATCGTTATTTCATTACGTGTCGCTCAATAAAAAAATATGCAACATCGTCACCTTCCCTTCACATGCCTCGCGCAACGTCGATTCCCGGGTACGTGGGATCTGCTGAATTTTTCGCCATCTGTTTGCGTATATTTTGCAACGTCTTACATATGACGTAAATATGTCAGTGGAGCCGTGGTTGACCCCGGCGTAAAGCACTTACGTGTTAAAAAATTACCAACATGATGCGGTAACCAATGTTTCTGATATATTTATTTTGTCTACACCAGTTTGTTGCTTCGTTGAATTAATTGAATTTTATGAGGCTTGGGCTTTCACGCACTGCAGGATACACATTGACGAACACCTTACTCCTCGGATTTTTTCTCGTCCCTTCCAAAAAAGTCTCTAAGCGCAGCGACTGCAGCTTCGATTACGCCTGGAGGAACCGCTTCAGCGCTGTAGGGGACAATGATCAGCGCAACTGAAAATAAATAAAAGAAAGAAAAACAGAAAGTACACTTGGAACAAGCATATAAATACGGAGGATATCTGCCGTGTCTATATTTTTTATCCAGACACATTTGAAAAATACACTTGTACCTCGGCATGGCCAAATATTTGTACGATGTATTGATTATACCAAATACCTGTACGATGTATTGATTATACGAATACACTGAACATAAGCTTTATTTTCATAACGGCTGGATAATGTTGTGAAAACTTTCCGAAAGGCGTACATTTTCTCACTGTTAGTATATGTACACTGACTATATGCATCCATGCACAATAATCAGAATGTCACACTCGCAATCACGTCTTGCGTAAACGTGTTTTTGTAAACGTTGTATTGCTTCGAGCAAGCAAATTCAAAACTGGAACTGAAATGGTCGGCAAGGTGCCGGACTACTAGCGTAAGAAAACACTTGTGCTAAATACTCCGGCTCTGTTGCATTCGCTCCAGAGCCAATATAAGTTGCCGTCAACTATGCTGTCATGAACTGAAATGAAATTTAACATTACTTGACAATCAGTAGATGTAACAAACGGGTTACTTTGGTATGTATTTGTTATGTAGGCTTAATCCTTGCATACTGTTATGAGCTCCGTTTGAAAGCGTTAAGTCACCATGCTCTATGAGGCGAATGTTGCATGTCCGAATGAGTAGCCAAAGGCTTGATTGGCATCTAACTGGTGTATCGGTAATTTGGTACTTAGTGCGGGGGCTATTTCGCGTCTATATGCGTCGACATTTATATGAATTTGGGGCAATTTTCCCACGTTGCAAGAAACCTTATTACGAAGTCTCGCTATGACGCTCAATCATCGGCTTGCTTATGTAAAAGTTCAATAGAATATCCTCGAAGGCTGGTCAATTGATTCTTTGAGTGACATGGAATTGCGCAACAAGGGCAGACTGAAGCAATGAGCAAGTCAGATGGGCATGTGGTGTCTTGGCCGTACTTTGCGCCTCTTGTCCTTTTTTTCACACAGCTTTACCTTACTAAAGGTGAGTAAAGCGAATAATTCATTTAGGTAATATTGCTTAGACTTACCGAGTGCACTAGCAAGCCCTATAGCAAGGTACTTGGCAAGGAAGCCGTCCATGTCTCACAACTGCGAGGAGGAATGATAAAACGAGTTATCCCTGCAAAAAATACACATGCGTGCACAATCATGTGCGTTACACCGCAGTGAGCCAAGAACTAACCACTGCGTCCTTTCTTTTCGCATTAAAAATAACAGAAGAAGTTGAACATGAAGTCAAATATTACAGTGTTTGGCCAGCGTGCTTTTTAATTTTTATGTTTGTAAAGTAGATCACAGGTTCTGACAGACCATAACAGAATACACAACAGATGCGGTAAAAATTTAGACACTTTCGTAATATGTCTGATGGATGTTGAATTATCACGTGGAATGTTCTGTGTCCAAGTAGTCGATGAAAAATATGCCAAGAGAAAAACGAACTCGTGCACTCGCCCATACAACCATTTGTAAACTATGTGTGGGGTCGCTATAAAAATCTTCAATTTTTCAAGGTTACTTCTCAACACCGTGTTTCGTGACCGCACTCATTCAGGGGTTTTAAAAACAGTTATTAAATGAAATGTACTCCGAATAACCTACTTCCCCACAAAAGATTGTTAAATCTCGCTGTTTCAAGCATTTCGTTGCTTACGGCAAGCTTCGCCTGTTTTTAAATAGGGAAACAAGGCGTGGCAGCGTTCCGTTATATTGAAACATCCAATAATTTGTATGGGTGTCTTTTCAACAAAATTGACCGGTTGACCCCTGCGAATATTTTATAATCACGCTGACTGCAGACGTACGCGAAGGGCTGGTACAAGCAATCTTCAAAATTGTTCTCGGTGGCTTTTCTAAATTTCTATTGAAATGCGTAGTAAGTAGAGATTTCGTTCGTACAAGAAATGCGCCAGAATGTGTATTCTTGACAGAGACACAAAATGTTGAAAATAAATTGGCTTACCTTTGAAGTAGGCGACCAAAAAGCTGTGCGGCTTCAGAGTCCCGCTGTAATTATGAAGTTGAATATTCGCACTACGCCTTTTAAGGACCACAGAAAGAGTTTTTTATGCATGAAAAAAATATTTCTATGTCAAACCGCATTGGACTCAAAACTGATTTGACAAAGTGGATTGCGTTGCGACGTCCCATAGTTGTCGGGCACATATTTGCACCCCTGTACAAATGAAATTTGCCCTGACATCTTTGAACCGCAAAGCCACAAGTGTATACAAAATCATAAACAAATTAGGTCATACTAACTATTGCTTTCATTTGCCTCATACGTCTTCTTCAAATACCCTAATTGCAATGTGAAGATATGTGGTGATACGCCATGGGCAACGTTCGTAAAACAAGCCACACATTACGATGAAGAGCTGCAGGGGAAATATTCAATTTATTGAGAATGCCACCCAAACGTAAGTATGCGACAAATAGGAAAATTGTCAAGGTTGTCGTGCGAATGCACTGCACGGTATCTGATGGCAGGCTAAACGCTTAGCGGCCCTGATTGAAGCAGATGTTGCGGAATATATTTATACCAAAGTCAATTAGTCGTTGGACCTTTGAACCTAATTATGAAACATTGTTTTCTTTACGGTACCAAGCACGGCAAAATAAAACAAAAGAATGCGAACTGATCTGGGCAAACTCATCCCCACTTGTAGGTTCATCTAACAGCGCGACGGCACCGTAAAAGAGAATTTTGGCGAAATATAGAGCCTACTATAGAACCCCAAGGTGTAGCACCTCTACACAGAACTGTTCTTGTATTGAATGCAATCCTATCTAAGTAGATGAATGATGCGTTTATTCAGAAAATTAGGAATTGAGCACCGCTGAAAGTTTTATTAGTAAAATATCGCTTCGCAAAGACGGTGACGACTTTGGCTAGTCCGCACATACATTAAAGAAAAACAGCGCGTAAACAAGAAAGGCGTCTTTGTGTTCCGTTGGATTGAGAAGTTGCGAGGTAAGTTTTGCTCACCCGAAAGTTGGCGAATGGCTACTGTATGGTGAATTTTAGGGCAACTGTGATTAACGTAATATCAAGCCATTATTTTTATTGCGCATTGTCCCTGTTATCTTGGAAGTATTAAAGTAACTATCACTCGAGCTAGGATTCTGACAGTCTACTCATCGAGAGATTGCCTCCAGCAATATTTCCTGTTGAAAAATTTCTCATTATGCCAAGCCTACATCTTTCTTCAGTCTTGATACGATACCTGAACAGCCTTGATGGCACTGGCTCGTAGTCATGACCAGGATTTGAGGTCATACGCACGTCATGCCACCTCTCATAGGCGACAGCACGGGCCTGTTGTGCATGAATAAGGAATTGGGAAAAAATTATATCACAGAGAAAAAGCTGGTTGGTAAAAACGACACTAGTTTACATGCAGAACTGACTCCCTGAAACATGCTGCAAAAATGATAGTGTCGCACTAAAACCATCCATAAATTCTTAGCCCGACAGCGTGAGGGAGCTGGTGTCACAGAGATGGCGGAGCCCACGTCGGTGAGGTTGTCGATAAGTGAAATAACTCAGTGAAGGCACATATCAAATGGAGTGACTGAAGTCGGAATCGAAGGCTGGCAATGTGCGCGGAAGTTGTGGGAATTGAGGCTAGCCCGCCGCCTTTGAGCGCGCTTTGCCGCCTCTTTCTTCGTTCTCATTGAAGAGGGCTCGAGGTCGATGATGGCATGTAGGGCGGGTATCTTTACGGAAACTGGCTCCCCTCCGTCGTCCGCAAAGCCGATCTTCGCCAGTGAGGGGAAGAAGTGAGAGAGAACGAAGGTTTATTTACATGATAGTTGAAAGATAGGAACTGTACAGGGGTTCAGAAGATCCCGCATTATGTACAGCAGAGACTCGGTTCATGATCCAGCTTCTACTTACAAAATGCTTCGGCTTTTATAACCCTTCGTCTCCTTACACAGAAATCCAAAAAAGGCGGTGAGCACTCTCGCCACAAATCAGGTGACGAAGTCTCAATGGCCGACTTTCCCAAACGTCTGCAATACTCGTTTCGCCCGCACACCAAATCGTCCAAGGAAGGGCGCTTTTGTGTTGGGAAGATGACATCCGGTGACTGGCGACGCTGCGGTGGCGCCACCGCGTCTTCCCTACATCTGTACCGAATGGAGAAACACATGTCGCGGAAAGAGAAATGGCCTCGGGACGGGACGGTAATAGGGAGTTGACGTATAGCCAGCAAGAAGTGCCGTCGTCGGTGTCGCGAGTCTCGCGTAGGCGGCGAGCATGGAGTGACCCGTGCAACGTATTGAGACGGCTGCAATTCCGGGCACCCTCGTCGTCTACCAAGCCGGCGAGATCTTCAGCGGCACCCGTCAACTCCCGTAGGTGTACCATGAGCTGGCCTGGTCCGTAGGGAACCTTTTATTGTGACTTTTTAAACTGTTATTTTATTATAACCAGCCTTTTTTTAATAATTGTAGTTGTGTGCGCAGCGTCACACGTCGATGCTCAGAAGCGCGTGCCTAAGTTTTTTTTTTCTCGTAAATTTTCCTTGTCTCTCGTGTAGTTTCGTCCTGATGTAATTTTATTATTATTCCGCGTACTTGCCTGTGGTCTGTATCTTTTGTAGTGTCTTTTAGCATATTTTTTATATAGCTGTTCCTTCCATCGCGCGTATTAGTGTTGTTTCATCTCTGTTCTTTTTTTGTATTCTCATTGCCATTGCCCTATTTTTATTAAATGTTTGCCTGCGTTTAATCCAATGTCCATGTCAGCCCTATGAGTACGTTGGTCGGGCCCATACATCACCACACGTGCAACCCAGCACGGGTCGACCAACCTGCAAATAAATTTGAGATGTGCCGCTTCGAGGCCTTTCAGGCGTCGCAGGCCGAAGCGAAGTCTGTGGAAGCCTGCGAGTCTGCCGCACGTCGAATTTAGGTCGGCGGGGCCTCACTCGAAGTGTGTGACACCCACCAGAAATGGTGCAGGTATTGCGCCACTCGGCTGGGCAAAACAGTCCAACGGTAGCACGAGCGCACCACACAACGACTCAGCACCCACCTTGAAGGCACCGCAGGGCGAGGAGGTAGAGTCCACAGAGGGAAGATTGAGCTCCTCCGGGGAGATGGCCACTGACCCGAACGTCAGCAGCGGTCCATGGCTGTTTTCAGCTACAGGCTTCCAGAACTCTGAAGTATAATTGAGGTAGAAACGGAAGTAGAAATTGAGGGTACTATCCTAAAGGACGCGCAGGCCGTTTCCAATGCTTTCATTAGGTATTTTCAGTCGGTATTTACACGTGCATGCGCACCAAGCAGCCCTGTTGCTCCGGTGCATCCTTCTTTATTGCCCGATGTCGTTGTCACTACGGAAGGTATTCTGAACCTGCTGTTGCAAATCGATGTTAAGAAATCAGTGGGTCCTGACAATATTTCAAATTTATTCCTTCGACGCTACGCAGAGCAACTATGTCCCTTCCTTGAAGCAATTTTTAAAGCATCCCTGCGAACAGCTTCTTTACCTGCAGACTGGTTGTGTGCAAAGGTAATTCGAATTCTTAAAGGCGGGAGCAAGCTGTCCATAGAAACATTCAGGCCTATCTCGCTAACTAGCTGCTGCTGTAAATTATTGGAACATCTAATCAACGAGGCAATAATTACTTATTTAAAACAACAACTTATTGCACCCAAACCAACACGGATTCCGTAAAAACCTGTCTACCGTTACTCAACTCTTGGAAATAACGCATGACTTCGTAACTACTATTTACTCACAATTGCAAACCGACTCCATATTTATTGACTTCGCCAAAGCTTTTGATAAAGTGCCTCACAGTAAATTGATTGACAAACTTGTGTCAATTGTTATTAACAGTAACATAATAGCATGGATAAAAATGTATCTATCAAATCGAAGCCAGTATGTAACCGTAAACAACACAGCCTCTGATTCATTGGAAGTTTTTTCCGGAGTACCACAAGGTTCCGTTTTAGGACCCATCTTGTTCCTAATGTATGTTAATGATATCTATATGTGCCTTGAGCCTAACGTTAAAATGAGATTATTCGCTGACGACTGCGTGATCTACACCACTATCCGCACAACTGATGACCAGCTTATGCTTAATACCACACTAGCTAATATTGCATGTTGGTGCCTTGAGTGGGGAATGGAAATTAACGTGTCAAAAACAGCTTGCCTTAGCATAACTCGCAGAAAAACAATCCAGAATTTTAGTTACAATTTGGTCGGCACAAACATTGGAAGAAACGACGCTGTTAAATACTTGGGCGTTACCTTTACAAGTAAACTGAAGTGGGATGCACATATAAGCAGCACATACACAAAAGCCTATCGCCGGCTAGGATTCCTGCGTCGAAAACTTGCATTGGCGCCTTCTAATGTAAAGATGACAGCATATAAATCTCTCATAAGGCCGATCCTCGAGTACGCCAGCATTGTTTGGAACCCCCACCAAAAATATCTTTCCGACAAATTAGAAATCGTCCAACGCAAGGCCCATCGCTTTATCTATTCTAAGTATTCGAAGCATGACAGTGTCACTGAGCTACGCAGGCGGGCATGCTTGCCGACCCTTGCAGCCCGTCGCCGTGTCTCTTCCTTAAAGTTTATTTTTCTTTTGTATCACAACGGTTTAAACATAGATAAAGACAACTATAAATAAAGACAACGCTGTGACACTTTTAAATATTCATTCTTCCCGTCAGCAGTGGAAGAGCGGAACAAATTGCCACGTGAATGCGTTAATCTTTCCTCGGCAGATTCATTTGTTCGGAATATAGAAAGCCTGTTTTATGAAGACTCACAGCAACTTTTGTTTTTTTATGTTTGTGAGCGCTTCCGAACACACTGATCACAGTACCCCCTGCTGATACCTCGATGTTTTTTGACCTGTCCATGATTTTGTACAATTGCATTCATCGTTCAAGTTTTATTTTCACCATCATCTTGTGATTCTGTTTCTTCCGCTATGTGCGATATTGCCTGGTTTGTACGCGACTGTGTATATTTGCTCGCCCACCCTGTATGAGCCCGAGAATGGCTTACAGTAATAAATAAATAAAT